CCTTGACCAAGATGAATCGAAAGGATTTCACGCATTGTTTCTCACTTGATTCAAAGACTCTTCGAGTCAATACTAATCTTCTCTATGGTCTAAAGTTCAACTGCTTACGTTGTAAGGGCGTTTGCAGTCGAGTTTGAGAATGACAATGAGAAAGGCACAGGCGGGAAAGGGAGTAACGTGCTCGAAATTTAAATATTTAAAAGTCAGCTTTAAACCAATCCAAACAAGGAAAAAAGGATTTCAACCAATCAGATAGTAGATTGTCCAATGGAGCGCTCCAGCTACACACACCACCCGTCTCATATATTTGACCCTGTCGCTCAGAGGTAAAAGAGAGATGCTGTCTGGTCTCGAACTGTTCAAAAGAAGTGATTGTATACATGTAATGCTAGCAGCTATCATGGTAGCGTCTTGAATGTAGTAAGTGATAAGACATCATCGTCACTATACGTGATGATGAGGATAGAAAGTCGTGGACCAAAAAGATTGAATAGATATGTATCAGTCGTTAGCATTGAAACATGGCAGTAAACACTTCTGTTGTGTTATAAAGAAGCAAATTTAACACCACACATGCAACGTGATGAGCCAGTGGACCAGGCAAGCCCACTATCCGTTATTTCCATTTCCATGAACCTGTCGCGCAACACACAAATCACAAAACTGAACCTGTTATATTTGATAAACAGTAATATATAGTGTTTTCTTACATTGAATAGGAAGAAATGAAGTCTAAAAGGGCAGGTTTTACAGCAAACCATCACCATTGTCCCAGCTCATTTGTCCAATTTGACACGAGCCAAATTTTACCAGTCAAACAATGCGTGAAATCCTTTCGATTCATCTTGGTCAAGGTGGGATCCAAGTTGGTAATTCCTGTTGGGAACTCTACTGTCTTGAACATGGTATACAACCAGATGGTCAGATCCCAAGTGACTCTAGTGCCATGGGTGATGATTCCTTCTCTACCTTCTTCTCTGAGACAGGATCAGGTAAACACGTACCCCGTGCCGTGTTCGTAGATTTGGAGCCTACCGTCTGTGATGAAGTACGAACGGGCACATACCGTCAGTTGTACCACCCCGAGCAAATTATCTCAGGAAAAGAAGACGCTGCCAATAATTATGCACGTGGCCATTACACTATCGGCAAAGAGGTCGTGGATCAGGTACTAGATCGTGTGCGTAAGCTTGCAGACGCCTGTACTGGTCTTCAGGGCTTTATGGTATTCAATGCTGTTGGTGGCGGTACTGGTTCAGGTCTTGGCTCACTGCTTCTCGAGCGTTTATCGGTCGACTATGGTCGTAAGAGTAAATTAGGCTTCACAATCTACCCGTCGCCACTGGTGTCATCAGCTGTGGTGGAGCCATACAACTCGGTCCTGTCTACACACTCACTCCTTGAGCATACGGATGTGGCTATTATGCTGGACAATGAAGCTATCTACGACATTTGCCGTCGTTCGTTGAACGTTGAGCGCCCATCCTATACAAACCTGAACCGGCTGATTGCTCAGGTGATCTCATCTCTGACTACGTCACTGCGCTTCGATGGCTCGCTGAACGTGGATATCACCGAGTTTCAGACCAATTTAGTGCCGTACCCGCGCATCCATTTCATGCTCAGCTCGTACGCGCCCGTGATTTCTGCTGAGAAAGCTTTCCACGAACAGCTGTCGGTAGCTGAGATTACCAATAGTGCATTTGAGCCAACCTCTATGATGGCCAAGTGTGATCCACGCCACGGCAAGTACATGGCCACATGTCTCATGTACCGAGGTGACGTTGTTCCGAAGGACGTGAACGCTGCGGTTGCCACGATCAAGACCAAGCGTACGATCCAGTTTGTGGACTGGTGTCCGACGGGCTTCAAGTGCGGCATTAACTATCAGCCGCCATCGGTAGTGCCGGATGGCGATCTTGCTCGCGTGCAGCGTGCCGTATGCATGATCTCGAACACGAGCGCTATTGCTGAGGTGTTTTCTCGCATCGATCACAAGTTTGATCTGATGTACGCGAAGCGTGCGTTCGTGCACTGGTTTGTTGGTGAGGGCATGGAAGAAGGCGAGTTTTCGGAGGCTCGTGAGGACCTTGCTGCTCTGGAGAAAGATTATGAGGAGGTATCAGCTGAGACTGCCGAGGGCGAAGGTGAGGATGAAGCCTTTGGTGACGAGTATTAACATGCCACACTATGGTTTGTAAGCATTAGTTTAAGATAGATTTGTGAAATCGATTTTTGCTATTACTTTTGCCTTTTGAAGTAGCTTATCTTTAATTGGCTAAAACTCGTTTGATATTAAACGCTGTTAAAGTAAGACTCGTTGCGATGCCAACGAAAGTGGAACACGAATGGAGCAACATTCGCGGTAGAATTGCCAGTGAATTAGTAAAGAAAGCCAAGAGTTTACCGCACGTGATTGACGGCAACAATATTTTTTGCAATCATCGACGACGTTTGGAACATCCACAGGGTGTCAAGCCCATTGGCAATTACTTTGAAGACATAATCAATGGCATTGTAGAATGTCGTACATCAGGTTTGGGTAGACTGTCGATGCTACAAGATATTCACGTGCTGTCATTATTGAATTATCTCTCGGCTTTAGATCTGCTGAATTTGGCAGCTTCCAGTCGTGCTGCCTACGTGTATGCCACACATGATGAACTATGGCGAGTATTAGTTCTCGAGGAGTTGCACGCACATTTTAAGCCCGAGCGAACGTGGAAGGCTACATATTTGAAGACTAAGTATGGTGATAAGGTACATTCTAGCTACCCAATTCGTGTACAGGGAGTGTACTCTGATCTATTGTTTCAGTCGTTTTTCTGTGCGGCTGCACCGATTGAAGAAACGTGGTTAGTGGTAGAAAGTATTGAGCGTCGAAATGCCAAGAACATGACATTGGATGAATTTAAGAGAGATTTTGAAGGTCCTAATGTACCGGTAATTATCACCAATGCTATTGACAACTGGGCGGCAATGGACAAGTGGACAGATGAGTATTTGAGTGACGTTTGCAAAGGCACAACATTCTACGCTGGAGGGTTTCAGTTTCCTATGGATGAATATTTAAATTATGCGCGCGTGCTGCAGGACGATCAACCGCTGTTTATTTTTGATAAGAAATTTGCTGCGAAGGTGCCCCGGCTTGCGAAAGACTACATGGTGCCTGAATACTTTCGTGAGGACTATTTCGCTTTACTCGACGAGAAGAAGCGACCTGACTACCGCTGGCTTATCATTGGTCCCAAGAAATCAGGCTCTAGTTTTCACATTGACCCAAACGCTACAAACGCGTGGAATGGCGTGATTCGCGGCAGCAAGAAATGGATCATGTTCCCTCCTGGCCAAGTGCCGCCTGGCATTCATCCGAGCGAGGATGGTAGCGAAGTGTCTACGCCAGTGTCCATGATGGAGTGGTTTGTGACATTTTACAACGCTGTGCAAAAATTGCCTGCACATTTGAAGCCGCTGGAGGGCATATGTCGAAAGGGTGAGACCATATTTGTACCGCATGGTTGGTGGCACACCGTATTAAACATCGAGGAGAGTATTGCTGTGACTCAGAATTTTGTAAGTTCTGGCAACGTGAAAAGTGTAATGAGATTTCTTACAGAGAAACCGGAGCAAGTTTCTGGTTGCCCAATGGAGCAACGCGCTATGCTAGGCGAAATGTTGCGAGACGTGATGGCCAAACATGTGCCGGAGGTTTTTGCCAAGGTGGACAAGGAGTTACAGGAAGAGAATAAGCGGAAGCACCGCAAAACGAAGTGGAAAATCCTTATTTCTAAAGGCTCGGACAAGAAGGAACGACCTATGATATCATCAATAGATGGCATAAAGCCAGTTAGTAGTGCAAACACATTCGGTTTTGACTTCAGGTTTGACTAGCACAAGCTTCATGCACATTTAGACACAAATGCACTATATTCTCAGAAATAAAAGGATGTCACAAAACTTTTGCGATTAGTCTTGTTGCTAGTTGAGGTCAATCATATCTGAGAGGTATCAAAGTTTTGTCTTCACTGACCAAAATCAAGCATACAAAGCAGCTTCATCATGGCTTGTGCTAATTGCTTGGACGCCTGGGACGATTGCTTTAACTTTTTCAAAGGCAAAAGTCCATACCATACCACGAGACAGACTAAGCTGTCTCAATTTACAAGAAACCAACGCGTCGGTTGGAAGCTTATGGGCGCTTTTGGCATGTACGAAAACGGGCTACTGTGAAACTCATACTGACCTCGTTGTTATCATTTTACTTACTACGAGTAGATTTATTTTCTGCGTCTTTTTTCAATGCTTGTTATTAGAGTGGGAAGGACACTTTAGTGATGGGCGAGAAAAGATACCACCGCTGATGCTGTTTGGTCCAATGTCGGCAATGTATTCCGTCATTGCGATGTGGGTATGGAGGAGACCTCTTACCACTAAAATGGAGAAACTCAAAAGTATAACGAGTATTTTGATCATCGTGGTGATGCCTTGCGTAGATTGCGGCTGTTCATCTGTACCAACCCACATTCAATGGACCACGTATTCTACTGCACTACCGACGACCATCTACTTGCTCATGGGAAATCCTTGACTGGGTCTTTTTTGAGGGTTCCACCACCTCTACTGTTGTGGCCTTCATCTTTTTCTGGTACATGTTGCAGCATCTGATTATCTTTTGCTGTCTCTAATTTAATGGTCCTCATGTTTTTGTTGTTGTTGCTATTGTGCTAGGATGGTAACACTGCCGTACTCTGACATTCCATCGCCAGGTTTACATGTGCTTGGTAACGTTGCACATGTAACAATTGTGGGCGTTGACTTTTACTTTACGGCGCCCCTTTTCAAGGCCAACCACGTGTTTCTTGTGCTCATGTGGCCAGTCTTCTGGATTTTTATGCAATACTTGTGGGTCATCAGTGGCCACCAACCTAGCACTGATCTATTCAACTTCCACTCGCCAGCTTCACCCGTGTCGACACTCATGCTGTTTCTCGGGACAGTTTTAGTCTTTTTCATCTTGCTTTGGTACTCCAAATATCTACAATACGTCTCGGACAAGGCGGCCGAGGCCACAGCCGGCACTGGCGATATAGATTCAGATGAAAACTCGAGTATTTTGACCCCGGTCTGCGAGAAATCGAGCAATGCGCCATTTGGACTGGTCACGGATTCCTCAGCAGACAATTGTTTGTCGTACAACGTCAAATCTCCCATCGACGTAGATCATCACAAATCACCGCTCAGATGAGAATCAGTGTAATATGTGTCCATTAGTGAGTTGCAGTCACTCTTACATTTCGTTGTCGACTATATTGTACCCAAAAGATGGAGCAGTAGAACCTGCTTTACTTGATATCCTCCTAAACTGCCACAAAGGTTTGGTGTCTACCCAGTGAAAAGGGGTTGGAAAGAGCGGGGCAAAAAAAACCTGTGTTTAAGTTTTTAGTAAGGCTATGAAGAAGAAAAGTGCAATTGGGCAAAAAAGACATTTAATTCCATTAAATAAATACCCAAAAAATCAAATAAGGGCACATTCCTGACACTTTTCAAGCGACGGCGGAACAGGCGGTAGTACAGCACTTTTGGTCTCTGTGTTTGTAAGGTTGTCTGTGTGTGGTCTTTGCAATGACCAACGGCATGGTGCGTGAAGTTGACCGTGCAATTGGTGCTTTATCGACGCTCTTTGTGGGTGTTGGGCTGCTCGTGGTACGATAATAAACGGTGTTATGACTGCTGAATCGATTTGTACCAACTAAATATCGTTATGGAATACAGCTCCGTGAATTGTACCGGAGTATGCGAGACAATGAGGGCAAGTGGGAGCGCTGTGACTTGAATCGATGCGGACAGGACGTTTACTACCAGTGCGTGGGCGGGGGATGTTTGATTTGACTGTAGACAGACAAGCAACTGACGGGACGATTGTGCTTTATCTCTTTATAGAAAGAAGTATGGAATGACCACACTACCATTATTCCAGCATCAAGGAGGATGCGATTGCGGATCTCTGCGGTGACATTTTGTACTTGCTTTTTGATGGCATAAACTCGAGAAAAGATAGCTCACTTGTATAAGATGTTATTTTCTTGTGATGTTTGATAGATTTGTGGTCTTTGCGCCAAAAAAAGTAGAGGCGTTTGATGACAGCAATACATTTTCGTGCAAGAAAGGAAGATTTCCGCTTTTGGTGAGTAAGAGTGTGAATGAGAATGGAGCTTCAGGGCGAGTGGTTATGACTGACCTTTTGGTTTGACGGTTAGATTGCTCCAACGTCTTGCTTTGAGATGATGGAATCATCGGATGTGTCGTTGTATGAGAGCCAAGCCACGTCATGCCAGCATGCCTTTTGCGCCAAATGTGGTAGGTTGACAACGATGGACCGCAGAAAGCGTTGATGCGAGGTGGCTACGTTTTTTTGAGACTAACTTGAGTTTTGGATGGTTTGGTTCAATACGTTACAGGTATACACATTTTCCAGTTTGATCACACACAACCAGACTGCATTGCTGTCAACTTGTACTGCGTGGAAGACGAGAACTTTGAGGATATAAAGGTGCGACTCATGCTGCCTTGCTCATTTTAGCCTGGAATTTTATGTTTTAGACATCAAGCTAACACGTGTGCTTATGTTGTGTGCATTTCTTCATTGTACATTCAACAGATCATATTTATTCCAAAAGGCTCACGCCCACTCTTCGGCCGAGCCAACCGCCTGCCTTTGGAGTATCGTCGTCCACTACAATCCCAGGGATTTGCACCAGTACAGGAAGACAGCAAAGAATCGACCATGTACGATACTAGCTCGGCACTGTAAGACTTGTTGTTCGATCTGACCCAATTGCGTCTGGCATTTTAGTGTGTTTCAAAAGCAGATGATGATGTGGGCCCGAATGGATAATTATGAAAAGTACCAAGAACCATCTTCGGATGATACGCAGTCTTCCACGAGTTCTACCAGCCAGACCAGGCGCTTTTCATTTGCATCGTCAGAAGACCCAACAACCGTGACGAAAGACCAATTGGAGTTTTATCTCAAGGTTTGTGCTCTGAACTGCTTGTGCTTTTCAGAATCAAGAGATTAATTGTGAATGATGATAATGATGTAACTAACACACAGCGCCATATGGATGATACTCCACAGGAAGAGTTTCGCGTCTAATAGCAAATATATACAAACGTATCTCCCATATATATACAAACGTCTCTCCCACGTCGACCCTTTGCACTTATTTCTTAGTAGCGTGCGGGTTTTTACTTTACCCAAGTTCTTCTTCCTATTGCGTGTCGCGAACAGTATTTTAAATTAGTTGCAATCTATTTACGTAAATTAGCGTGTAAAAATAGTGTCAGTTGAAACAAACACAATTTTGAAAGTCTTAATTCTGTCGTTTCAGATCTGTGGTTTCTCCTGTCACATTTTTAGTACGACACATTTTTAGTTTCATTATGGACAAGAAACACCTTCAGCCAAATTACTACGATATACTGGGTGTAGACCGCTCGGCATCCACGGAAGACATTAAAGCCGCGTATCGCAAGCTCGGTACGTTCATTGCTTATGTATACTTGTCTGCTTTGTAATCTCCTCCTGACTAATGGATGCAGTTTTAAAGCACCACCCGGATCGTAATCACGTTCAAACCAAAAGCTCCTCCGTCAGACAAAAAGATGAAAAGGTCTGCAATCTAGTTGTATTTTTGTGTATTTGGTTGTTATCTAATGTCCATTTTATGGTAATTTGTATCATTAGGATGCTGAAATTGTGCACATTAATGCTGCATATGACCTATTGAGTGATGATTCGAATCGTGTTAAATATGACATGGAGATGTTTGGTGTATCGGCGATTCCGAATTACAATGATCATGGGATCAAGGAAACTGGTAGCTACAAACCCATGAGTTCACAAGATGTGCACGAGATGTTAGGAGGATTAAATACGTACGAACGTTTTACGACGGCCCAATTTCATCGACATCGCTCCCATATCGCACCTTCTGCTATCGGACGGAGAGCGACAAACCTTATGGAGAGAAAACGATTTCGTGCTGCCAATTCGAAACTGCCGACTCAGTCTGTCTCATTGGCGTGGCTGGCTTTTCCCATTGCATTGATGGCGTTATGGGGTGTTAACTTGAACTACGTCAAAAAGCAATCTAGGAAGCACTGATTTTTCATTATACACTTCACTTGAAATGGGTGCAATATAAGGTCTCGAGTAAGGTTTGATTGATTAATCCTGGTGTTGTTGCATGAACGTGTACAATGTGATGCATCATCTTTTTGTTTGTGCTTAGAGGTTATCACACGTCATGGAACTATTGCGTTACATGGTCGTTCTGTTTAAGTTTGAGCTGGACTCTCAACATCTTCATGAGTTCCTACAATGTTCTAGGAGGTAAGACTGTTGTCGACAACACCATGGCAGTCTGATGCACACTCATTGACCCTACCTTAGTCTTGCTATCTTGTTGCTTTGTAGCCATTTGAACTTTGATATCGATGTCAATGTGAAAAACAGTTGCAGCGAAAGAATTCGAAACGCGATGTGGGATGACGGTTTGAATGACGATAGCTTTGGTCAAAAATGCATTGAGAATGTGCAAATAGTATATATAGATGTAGGAATTGTCAACTATAAGACGGTGTACCTCAGCAAACGTTCACGAGATAGTGTAAAGAATTAATACGCTCAAGCGCTTTGCTTCGGTGCAGTGTCACCAACGGCAGTTGCAGACATCGTGGTGGACTTGCTACTACTAGATTAAGGCTGCTTAGCAAAACCGTGAGCGATGGCAGCTACAAATGTTGTATACCTTTACACAATCGGCTGATACATTTATCAAACCACTGCTGAGCTGCAATCTCGTTCAGTCTTCAATACAAACCTCATATCCGACATTGATGAGTTACGTACATTATTCTTGATCACACCTCATTATCATGCTTATTACTCCAGAAAGGCACTTGAATGAAGTCAAAAGACCATTTAAAAATGTAATGTTGAAGCTTCATTTTAAAGCGGTTGCCTCAGAAGCTTTACAAACTAAATTGTCGGCAAATTAAAGGTAAACCAGCAAAAAATAAGCGTCCTCCGTAGCATCAGCAAAGCTTATGCCTCCAGTTTTTCGATTGACATGAAATCCAGGCTCCTTCAAGTCGGTATCTTGAATCGGAGCTACGACCATGCTGACGTCTCACTCGTTCAATCTTTTTTCTCACTTCAATCGAGCGGCTTTTAGGGCTTGCTACAACTTACAAAAGGTGCTGCATGCGTTGGATGATCTGCAGCAGCTCCGTGGCACTAGGTCGCACATTTGGATCCGAGTCCAAACAGCGGTCCGCTAGTTCCTTCACGAGAGGTGGGCATTCCGGTGAAAACGTCGGCCTCATGTTTCTTCGGATCACCATCTGCACAATTTTCATGCTCTGTAGCTTCTTGCCCGAGCTGTCACGCTTGTCTGAGTACGGTACCGTATGCGTGTCCAGCTCCGCCATGACAATACCAAACGAGAAGATATCGGCCTTTTCCGTATACTTCTTCCCCATGAGTACTTCAGGTGCTGTCCAATATATTGTACCCACACCTGCCGTCATCGTGTCCTCTACGGCTCGTTCTCGACTAATCCCAAAGTCACTGAGCTTTGCACGGAACGAGTCGTCCAGCAAAATATTCTTTGACTTGAGATCACGATGAATCACCATAGGTGACAGACCGTGCAAGTATCCGAGCGCATCAGCCACATCTTCTGAGAGAAAAATCTTGTGGTCACGCCAATTGATTTGGCCCTGTCGGCGGTTGAGGAAGCCGTGCAGATCACCCTTGCCCATATACTCAGTCACAGCACACAAGTCTTGCATCGAGCTCCAGGATACACCCACAAACTCAACAATTTTAGGATGTGAGAAGGACGCCATGAGTTTAATCTCCGCTCCAAAGCACTCAATCTCCTTCACGTCGTTCTTCTTCTCATTCAAAATTCTCTTGACTGCCACCTGTCTGTTTTCCAATTGAGCAAGCCACACTTCTCCAAACGCTCCCTTGCTCAGCACTCGCGTGAAATACAGCGAAGAGTATGGAATGCGACTTTTGCCGAGCGTCGGGTCTGCCTGAAATTGCTCCAGCACCCGCATAGCTGCCTCTCGAGATCTGTCGCAGATCTCCATATCACGGCCATTGCTTGAGTTGCCAGAGCTTCCACTCTGTTGTGCCTTATCTTGTTTTGTATCCGGTTCCATAGTGCTGCGTAAGGCAGGACGATCAAATTGCTGCTGCTGGGGACGTGAGGGTCTCTGCTCCGGATGTTGCTGCAGGTACGTTCGTGAGCCATTTCGCGGCCGCTGCTGCGGACCGCTTGACACTCTGTTGGCACCACTTGATACTCTGTGAGCACCACCTGATGCTCTTTGAACACCACTTGACGCTCTGTTGAGTCCACTTGACACTCTGTTAGGCCCAGTAGACACTCTGATAGGTCCACTTGATGCTCTGTTAGGTCCACTTGACACTCTGTTAAAGCTGCTTGATACTCTCGTTGGGTTTGAAGACCGTCGATCACGTCCTCCGTCAACATCTGCGTCACTACGACGATTATCTTCACGAGTATTACGGTCTCCCTTGGGCAATGGTGTCCCATGAATATCATACGGATTTTGATGTGCCAGTGCAGCGTTGTGCGGTTGCGTAGAAGCTGTAGGGGTTGTAATAGTATCGGGATAATTCTCGTTGTCACTTTTACGACGGCTAGCGCAGGAGCCGCACGTGAGGAAGGCTACTAAGCTTTTCATTTGGTTCAATTACTACAGTACCTACCTACTTGACGCCCTTAATACCCGAATGGCTGACGGACTTTGGCTGCTTATCGGGTAGAATTCGAACTATACGTACGGACGGACCCAGAAATTTGCACTGACTAGTTTTTCGCGTGGAAGAGCGGGAAAATTACTTGTCCAGATTATTAAACTGTGACATTTCATTTCAATGTGTCACGTGTAAGGATGTAGATTACATGTATTACAAACCTGTAGAAAGATATAGTATGTAGGAATTGATATTACTAACCCATCATGATCTTACATGTCATCCTTCCACTAGACCAAAGCGCATGATATGCAGGAACGATGCTGCTTCAGGTGACAATGAAACTTGTATTCGGTATTAGAAAGACGTGTAATCTGATAGTATAGTGCTTTTCATATGCAAAACAAGCTGCGAATACTCTTCTTTATGTGAACTTATGCTACGATGAATGAGAGCCAACGTTTTTGTCAGCCACTGTACAAAAATTAGCTTGGGTGACTGATACCACTATCAGCGTTTTGGATACCAGCAGACGCATTGAAACGGGATAAAGCTGCAGAATTAGATCGTCAGATAGACAGCATTGGCACAACATCTTCACTTATCTGTAGATTCATGTATAGGAAACACACATACAAGGAGTGTTGTTTGTTACACTTGATACAATGTGCTTGTGAGGCCAATACGTTGGCTGGGTTTCCAACAAAAGAACAAACTGTCAATTACATGCTTGTCAAGACAGACGTTACATAGCAAACGTCTCACAGTTACATATTACTCACCAATGCTAAAGAATCAGAGTAAAAGTAACATACGTGAGCTACTGCTGGTGTTGAGACATCTGCGACAAGCAATCACCATTTGGTTGTGACGGTTCACAATCACACATTCGTCAACTTCATGCTAGACATGCCTCATATGTTTAAATTGATGCTTAGAACAAGGTACGACAGATGATCAGTGAGTAGTCGGTAGATCGCCTCAATGGCAAATTCACATTACTCATCTAATGTTAAATTTAACGACAAACAGCTTTGCTTGATTCAAAGACTGTCGATCCTTGCAACAAAAGTTAAATACCCGTAGGCAAGTAAGAGCCATAACGAATTTGACAATGGCCTTCCTCGCTCTTTGCGCGCAATTGCTCTTCTCTATGCTTCTATTGCTGCAAATCATTCTGGATGTCGCGTAAAATATCAAGCAGCTCGGGTGCGCCTGGACGTACGTCCGGGTTGGAATTTAAGCAACGGTCAGCAAGCGCCTTAATTTGCTCCGGACAATTTTCCAAGAACGACGGTCGAAGAGTCTGACGAATTACCAGCTGAATGATCTTCATGCTCGAAAGCTCCTTGCCAGAGTTGTCGCGTTGGTCCGAGTACGGTACTTCGCACGTGTCCATTTCCGACATGACAATGCCAAAAGAGTAAATGTCGGCCTTCTCGGTGTACTTTTTGCCCATGAGCACCTCAGGAGCAGTCCAATAGATAGTGCCAACACCTGCCGTCATTGTCTCCTCTGCAGAACGTTTTCGGCTGATGCCAAAGTCACTCAGTTTTGCACGGAACTTGTTGTCAAGTAAAATATTCTTGGACTTGAGGTCGCGATGAATGATCTTTGGTGATAGCGAGTGGAGGTACACTAGAGCCTCGGCAATGTCCTCGGCTAACCACACATTATGACTTGGCCAGTTGAGCTTGCCCTTACGACGTTCCAAGTAACAGCACAAATCGCCCTTGGCCATAAACTCCGTTACTGCACACAGATCCTGCGTGTCACTCCATGAGACGCCAATGAACCCGACAATCTTTGGATGCTTTAATAACGCCATAAGCTTAATTTCTTCTCCAAAACACTCGATTTCCTTCACGTCGTGCTTTTTCTCGTCTAAAATTTTCTTGACGGCGACCTGAGTGTTTTCCAGCTGGGCCAGCCACACCTCTCCAAAAGCTCCCTGGGAGATCGCGCGCGTGAAGTAAAGTGAGTTGTACGGGATCCAGCTTTCTTCGAATTCAGGGTCTTCTCCCAGCTCCGCCATCACCTTTTCCGCTGCTGCTTGTGTGCGCGCAATTACAGCCGGATCCGTTTGTCTCCTCTGCACTTCTTCCACACTAGATTTTCCCCACATTTGGCTCCGCTGCAGCTCCATCATTAATAGACCAGGATCATTGTACTCCTGAGGTTCCAGCATGGGCATCTCAGGAGGAGGAGGTGGCGGTGGCAACGAATCCCCCGGGTCATAGTGACGTTGGTACTGCGATTCGTACTGGCGCTGGTTCTCGTACTGCGATTCGTACTGGCGCTGGTTCTCGTACTGCGATTCGTACTGGCGCTGGTTCTCGTACTGCGACTGTCGTTGTTGCTGACGAGTATAAGTTGATGCTCCCTTGGTCGGCCATTGAGGAGGTCGTTCTACCCTATGATGCGATGAGCGATGATGAGATGAAGAACGTGCTATCTTCTTGTCCCGTGCACGGTTGCTATATGCAGAGTCCCTCCGTCGTCGATCAATCACCGTGTTACCGTTTGAAGTTCCACGACTGATTCCAGAATGTGCAGTAGTGGATGGAAGATTGTAGCATCGATTATCTGCATGTTTACAATTCTGCTTGCGTTTCCAAACAAAAAATGCCACGATACAGCCCAACCCAACGACTACAGGGATGACAATGAAAAAAAGAATAGTAGAATCAGAATTTGTGGTCGTTGAGGTTATTGCAGCAACAGCAGTAGTGTTGAATATGATCAAAATTAGAGCAACAAGAAGACGTCTGTCGATATTTCCAGACTGAACTACCGTCATCTTAATATGAAGTATTCAAGATGGATTCCGTAGTCTCCAAGTCTTTTGAATTGATGAGTCGATTGGGGAATGATGAGAAGTTGAAAAACCTTGAGGAGGGCTTGGTGTTGCGTTTAGGGAAACAAATCACTTGGATTTCGTATGTGACGCTCGCTCTCTTGTTGCTCTCAACATCTGGGCAAGTGACGCTCGACTAATTGTGTGGAAAACCGCAACGATCTCACATAGCGCATTGTCTTGAACTGCTTCCTTTCTCATAGAGTTGAGGACACTTACATTAAATAATAATCATAATAGCAGACGCTCCCAATAATAGTGTCCTCTTTGTTCATTCTCTTTCATTGAGTAGTAAACTTTCTTGACTTGTTGTTAAGCTATCATACTCTTCCGGTTACAAAAACAAGAGTCAGTTCTTTTTGAATGAGGACAATACATACACCTGGTGCAATGCAATCGGCTTTGTCGACCATGCTGCATACGACGGATGAGTCAAAAGCTAGTGATGCACGATTTGATGCATGCTCGGCTGAATGTACTCTCAAAACAAACTAATCCGCCCTGACAGGCAATGCCAGTGCCCTAGGTTTTGATGAGCATGTGTGTCACTCTGATTGGGCTAGGAAAAACGATCTTTAGAATGCGCTGAGTTCTTGCTGTCCATTTGTTGTAGCAGCTTCAATGCTTTACAAGTATCTGTTAGAAGCGATAGTGCATGGTCGTAGTCAGACCGGCAATACTGAATCTCCATCCATGTACAGAAGCAAAGCAGTCAGCAGGTGACAATTTGACAGTCAGTATTTAAATGGTTTTTGAAATCAGAATTCTTTTTATTCTTGTCAAGGTCTATGAATCCGGTAAGGATTCATGGTGTACATCTTCTATTTTGATGAGCGGTATAACAGCTGGTCGGTCAATCAAGTAACACACATGCGTTCATCTACCTGCCATTTCACAACACACGGTTATTTTTTAGGTACAAGCAAACAAAGTGATTGTTCTATGCGCAACGCTGTTTATCATTTCGTTTTCGTCGATGTTGTTGACTTGATATGCCACTTGTGCTTTATCCACAAGAATAAACTCGCATCAATCAATAAGTCGAGCAGGTACATCCAAATATATGTTGAAACAAAGTGATATGCCACTTGTGCTTTATCCACAAGAATAAACTCGCATCAATCAATAAGTCGAGCAGGTACATCCAAATATATGTTGAAACAAAGTGATTCACAGTAGCGTCAATACTTTGTTTGATCCTTCTTGGCAAGATCAGATCGGAAGAAAAGCTTATTCTTGACAGCTTTTTTGTAGCAGGTTATATGTGGACTACACATCCATCCTATAACGAAAGAAAAAAATAAATTACGTCTCCCCAAGGCGTTATTTATTACTGACTATTTAGACTTATATTACCAATCGAATAAATTAGCGTCAAGTCTGTTTGAATATAGAAATCTTGATCGTCTCATGGAAACTAGTATTTGGGCTTTTTACTATCTACAGGGTGAAGATGGCGAAGATCGTGCACATCCAAATGCTTTTCGATTAACTGGTATCTCTTCAACTACCGACGTCGTGACACTTGCAGACGTACTTCGATGTTTTCCACTACCTAATCCAAGAGCTTTTCATTTTCGATTTCGACTTAATAGCAATAAGAATCATACATTCTATTGGTTGGACGTGACACAACCTATGGAAAAGGTGCCAATGGCTAGTGGACGTGTTATTTGTAAACTCCTGCGTCTGGAACGACCCCAGAAATTTGGTTTAGTTTTACGACGTCGACCCGTGTTGAAATTGGTGAGTGGAAATCGACCATTAAGACATCAAAGTAGCTCCTCCAATGGACTTGGTAATAGTTCAAGTAGTGTGCAGTCATTAAAGAATGTACAGCCATTGGAAGATGGGGGTCAGAGGTTCCATCGGTCGTCGTCTTTATCAGCATTTGAACAAGGTCGGCCAACTAAGTACTCGGACAGGGCACCAGACAGTAGTAATGGAGCAGATACCCGGCTGAGTAATGCGTCAAGTCACGCTTCTTCCATGTCTGGAGACAAGAAATCGGTATCACGAACAGGATCAGGATCCAAGGCAGTGATGCCAGCACAAGAAAACCTTGAAGATTTTCTGTCAGGTAGCCAACAGGTATCAGGTGCTATTGTTACTTCGGCAGCCTCAATACCTAATAAAGATGTAAACCTGATGAGCGATAGCAGCTGGACTGACGCACCAGCTACGCTAGCACAGCCTACTGCGAACTCTGACTTTCTGAACGCGATGGACCCATTGGCGGCTCGTGCTGCGCCGGCTCCTCAGATGTCACCATCAAATGCTGTACATCGAGATTCGCCCAAGTTCGACGACGATAACGGACAAACTGTAGGTCCCGTTACCATAGCAGAGATGGAGGCACACTCCAAGTCCACGTCGGATGGGTCCAACGTGTACAATCCAAATCTGGTGGACAAGTCGACGAAGAGTGAAGGTGTGCGCCGCGCAATGGAAGAGCGTGAGCGACGGGTGCAGCGCGATGTGGAGCGAGCTCGTGAAGCTTTACGCAAGCGCGAAGAAGCCGTACGCAACATGTCTGCCATGAAAGACAACGCGAACGCTATAATTGGCCCCAAAGTGAAGAGTTGGGCGGAAGATAATGGTCAGGTGAAGAACATTCGCACGCTGTTATCTACAATGCACCAGGTCATGTGGGAAGACAGCAAGTGGCCCGAGGTGAACATGGGCAAGCTCATTCAGCCTAGCGATGTGAAAAAGCATTACCGCAAGGCCATGATTGTTGTACACCCTGACAAGTCCGGTGGACGCAACGCGGAGCAATTGTTGATTGCTGAGCGCGTTTTTGCGGCACTGAACACCGCTTGGGATGATTTTCAGAAGACTAATTCATGCTAGAAATGATTGCACAAGATGTGCTGTAAAGAGTGCAATGAGGCAAGGCAGCTGAGGTTTAGTACAAGTACACCAAGCCCATGAATATCAAAATGCACGTTCAGAATATAGAAGCACGCAAAAAGCTGTTTATTGTTTTTATCACACGCTGATTAGCAAAGACAAGATGCAGCGTGGCCAACATGGCATGTCACCATCGCTTTAAAAACATGGCGCAAACACCAGCGCTCTACATTGAGCTGCTGACGCTGACTTGGATCGGAAATGCAGTTGCCTACATTTTCTTGATCACAGCATGATTCTTCCAATACTCGACCGCCTTCATGTACTCATCGCGGTTGATGGGCACACCAGAGCCGCCCTGCGTCTTACCAATGGCATTTCGCATCATGGTAATGGGCTTCATGGGCAGTTCGTAGTCTTCGTTTTGCGCCTTAATCGCCACAATTCCCCACGGAGAATTCGTGTGCAACGGGTCTGCCGGCACTTCCACAGCCTCGTTTTCCTTAATGATCTGTTCACGGCTGTACAAGATAATGTCAAGGTACTCGGCCACCATTGGTGTTACACTGTGACTTGGAAACCAACGTGTCAATCTATATCATTCAAGAATATTCACTCAATATCCATACATTACTCACAATACAATTAACCACCAAGAAATTCAACAAGAGTAAAGAGCGACATACACTGGCAGTTCGTATTCCGTACGAGCCTCGTAGTCTGACATGAGCATGCTTGAGTTAGCCCGTGTAATCGGCACCATATTGAGACGAGCACCAGCAAAGTTCTTGATGAATAGGTGCTTGCAGAATGGTGCATAGCTGTTATCATTAAACAGGTCATGAGATCCTAAGTATCAATATTATTCCAATGCAATAGGCAATACATAATAGCATACGTACCCGTCCACCATTTTCTTTGAGTTTGCCTCATAAATCTCGTTTACTCTCTTGACAAATTCCTCCTTATTATAGTCAATATGAGTGCCCGAGTAGGTTTTATCGTCAAATTGACGCTTGGCAAAGCCATCTACAGCCCAATACATCATCATCCAATCAGTTCATTTAACAGTAGCAATACACTTGAATATCCATATATTGCAGTAAAGTAAGCGTACCTAGAACAATATCACGATGTTCGACGGGTTCAGCGGCTTGATCTGCTGCCTTTTCCATCATTTTCGTAGCACTGCCGAGCATATTGACAAATCCACGCGTCTGAGAAGTGCGAGTTACCACTACGGTTGTTCGTAGCCGTGCGAGTAGCATGTTAGCCCAAGATTTAAAGGCTCGAAGGAGATAAGAACAATACTAGCAGACCTGAGGAAGGCTGCGAGGAATGTGTCTGGTCGGGAGGATCTTGTAAAATGACCACTTTGAGTGGACTGAGACAATCATTCGATTGGTAGAAAATAAGAATAAGAAGTAACGGATAGGCCATCAAGTTGAGACTTTTCCGTGACATGTGACGGGACAGACAGGCAATTAGCATGGGATGGAATAAGTGGCATGCCTATTAGTTTAGTGTGGGAAAACATTCAGTGTCGCGCACGACGTGGCAAGTGGACGCGCCTTTTGTGCAAGATGACGCACTTCCCAATGCAGCTTGAACAAGTCGTGTCAATTGCTCCAGCTGTTCTTGCTGTTGCTTCAATTGCATCTCCAGACGATGCTGTATCAATACAATTTTGCACACCATGTCCTTGTTAAATTACATTGGCATTTCACACAATGTGTCGTTCTTTGCCGCGCTTACCTGGCCTGTCGTGATAGCCTCGAATCTTTGGTGCAGCGCCAAGCCGGTCGGAATGCGTGGTGTCGATGGATTATCCGCCGATTGAACGACTGGCGTGAGTGCAGCTGAGGTTGGTGTCGTACATGCAAACGCTGGATGGTCGTAATCACGAGACTGCTCGTCGTCGCTAAAGCTGCCCACAAACAGCGAGCCATCACGTGATCTGTCGCCAACACTAACAGCCATGCTATACAGTTCAGCCTCTTCTTCGCGCTGCTTTTCCAGCATGACCTCTATAAAACTGCTTCCTAATACGGCTCCAGGGATTGCAAACAACACGATGCCCCACAATGCAAGCGAGGCTCCGACCAAGCGGCCCATACTGGTCACGGGAACGATATCACCGTAACCAAGTGACGTGATTGTCTCGACTGACCACCATAAAGAAACACTGAAGCTCGAAAAAACACTCGGCTGCGCCAAATGTTCGAGAAAGAAGATCAGCAGCGACGATGTAAGCACCATCAAGGCTGTAAGGTACGTCAACACTAAAAACTCTTCCTTCTTGCGCATAAAAATCGTCCGCAAATTCTTCATTGCATTGTACATTCGTTCTAGACGTAAGAACGACACAATCCGTAAGAGTCGCAGACTTCGCAAGGTCAATCCTCTATTATGATGAGCACTGGCAGTAAAATGCGTGGACAAAGTCAGTAAGTAAACATCATAACTAGCTTGGTCACATCATGGTCCACTGATTGATTACTCTACCGAACGTACTTATACTCCATACTGACTTCTAAATAAAAAGGAATCAACGCCATTAGATCAATTAACGACAGCGGTCGACTCATCCATTTTAGCCTATAGAACAAACACATCAAAGATAACAAACCACTTAGGAAACAACGATATTCGACACAAACTTTCCATGACAATTGTGAGCAATACACAGTCCACCCTTTACCGTCCTTTAATCACTCCTTTATTGTATCGTTCATCTTCCACACACGACCACAGTCGTAGTACGTACTCAATCGAAAAGATAATAGTTGATACGAGTAAAAAGATATCAGTCCAATCATTAACGACTGGATTTGGTCCGGAGAAAGACCCGGTAGCTTCACCATCCACGACTGCAGATGTCTCAGAAATAGCTACTATCACGTTAAGTAGAATCAACGTCAGGACACTTAGTTCCAGTATGTAAGATGCATATTGTAGACCAGAACGGTGCTGCACCGATGAACGAAAGCGCAATACAGTCCAAATATCCTGACGTATTGTCGTATGACGTTCCTCAATAATGTGATGCCATCGCATTGGTGACATAGTAGAGGACAAAAGTGTCGAATGCTCCGTACATGAACGTCCATGCTGCTCATGTGGTGCCTTCTTCATGCTTAAGTAACAAAACGACTGCTTAAGTCGGTCGATCTACTCTCTCCTGGTTTATGTTCACTATCTCTCACTATTTCTAAGTTTGGTCATCACGGTATTTCTAAACAAAAAAAAATCACAGGGTAAAATCTCGATCGTTTATCCAGTTTCATTGGATAAATAATATTTGTTCCGGGTTAGGACTAAATACAAGCTGCATTCTGTCCGATTATAAAAGTCACGTAACAATCTGTCCTCTCTTTCTACCTTGTAAGTGATCACGTTCATAGAATCATCCGCGTCTTTTTCCTCTCTTATTATATCGTATATATCATCATCTAGATAATGTACTACTTGTTCTATACTATTTACTGTACATCCTTCGGTCACTCTCGTGGTTATTTTCACGTGTTTTGAGTCAATTGTTGTGTCTTTAAGAATATGTCAATGGCTGCTCGTCTTCGATACTTTATTAATAGTCCGACGGGACCGAAGACTACGCATTTTTGGGGTCCTGTTGCCAATTGGGGCTTTGTGCTTGCTGTATGTGATTTTATCTGTATATTTTAAAGGTGGAGGTGACCTGGCAGTTCATAAATGCCACATACACCCAGACCTACCCTAAGTGATGTATGTTATCTTTGATTCCCTCTAATGATGCTGTTGATGATGGTATTGTTTGTAGGCGATGGCGGACATGAAGAAACCCGCCGATGTAATTTCAATCAATATGACGTCAGGTACGTGCTACCGAATTATCAAAGCTTCATGGAAATTAAGCATGATGTATGCTTACTGTAAATGCAGCTCTATCGATCTACAGTCTGATCTTTATGCGGTTTGCATGGATGGTCAAGCCTCGTAACTACCTGCTTCTTGCTTGTCATGCCTCGAATGAAACGGCCCAGCTCTACCAACTACAGCGTGGCTTGCGCTTTCGTGCGAGCAAAAAGGCTGCGGAGAAACAAATGTAAACCCGTCATGGATCTTTTTCTCACACACTCAATGACAGGACCGTGCTGTTAGATGTTGCCCCGGCCTGACTTGTTGAACAAGATTTGATACGCTGCTTTGCATATCATGTTTCTGTGTTAGCAAGAGCTTGCTTGGTACACCTGTTTGGTTTTAAAGAAAAGATATTGGCAATAGGATAATGACCACACCTCTTTTCCTATCGCATTTTGACTCATCTTCTCACATTCGAAAGACGCCGAACTTCGTGTCCTGTGGTTGCTCATTCAGCGCAGCGCTAAGACTTAGTCCAAGCACCTTGCGAGTGTCCTTTGGATCAATAATGCCGTCATCCCAGAGACGTGCCGTTGAATAATACGCCGAGCTCTCGACCTCGTATTTGTCTAGAATAGGTTGCGTGAATGCTGCTTCTTCCTCAGGAGACCAAGTCTCCCCACGGCGCTCGTAGTTGTCATGCTGCACTTGAGCGAGCACACGCGCCGCCTGCTCGCCACCCATGACGGATATTCGAGCGTTCGGCCACATATACAAGAAGCGAGGCGAAAATGCGCGACCACACATGCCATAGTTGCCTGCACCATAGGAACCGCCAATGATGCAAGTGATCTTAGGTACCTTGGCATTTGCAACGGCCATGACCATCTTAGCACCGTCCTTTGCAATGCCACCATGCTCTGCCTTCTTTCCAACCATGAAACCCGTGATGTTTTGAAGAAATAGCAGGGGAATGCCACGCTGGCAGCATAGCTCAATGAAGTGTGCCGCTTTCACCGATGACTCCGAGAAAAGAATGCCGTTGTTAGCAATAATACCAACAGGATTCCCATACAGACGCGCAAAGCCCGTGACAATGGTGGGACCATACTCCTTCTTGAACTCGTCAAAACGACTGCCGTCGACAATACGGGCAATCACCTTCCTCACATCGAAAGGCTTGCGAGAGTCCACAGGAATTATTCCTCCAAGCTCATCTGGAGAGTAAAGTGGCTCCTCAATTAATGTTTGCGTAACGGCAGGCTGTATGCGGTAGTTCAAGTTACTCACAATACGTCGCGTGATATCCAATGCATGGGCATCGTTGTTGGCATAATGATCGGTCACACCAGAAATACGGCAATGTATATCTGCGCCACCCAATTCCTCGGGTGTGATTACTTCTCCAGTCGCTGCTTTCACAAGTGGAGGTCCTCCTAAAAATACAGTGCCGTTTCCCTTCACAATGACACTCTCGTCCGACATGGCCGGTACGTAAGCTCCACCAGCAGTACAGCTGCCCATAACCACAGCAATCTGAGGAATACCTAGAGCCGACATGGTAGCTTGGTTATAAAACTCTCTTCCAAAATGGTCACGGTCTGGAAATATGTCGGCTTGCAGTGGTAAGAAGGCACCACCAGAATCTACAAGATATATACAAGGCAGGCGATTTTCCTGGGCAATCGCTTGTGCTCGTAAATGCTTCTTAACAGTCAAGGGGAAGTACGTGCCTCCTTTGACTGTAGCATCATTGCCCAGAATCATGCACTCGATGCCACTGATGCGGCCAATACCTGTAACAATCCCAGCGCTCGGTACACCCCCTCCATACATATCGTAGGCAGCTAAGGGCGACAACTCTAAAAAGGGTGACCCAGAATCTAGTAACAAATCAATGCGTTCACGTACTAGCATCTTACCACGTGCCTCATGACGAGCTCGGGCCTCTTGTCCACCACCTTGACGCGCTGTCACCACACGATCTCGTAGTTCGGTCGTAAGTTTTGCCATGTGCGCTTGCGAGTCTTGGAATTGCGTTGACTTGACGTTGAGCGCACCGTCCAAGACATTCGACAAGCAGCTGAATGTACTTGCTTGTAACGTAAAAGTACGGCGACATAAGCAGACGGATGAACGTGTTAGGACACTATGTCGAGTCAGTATTGTCATGGAGAGAATGAGAATATTTCGTCTATTGAAGAGTGGATAGATAAGATTTGGCCTTGAAGTTTCGATTCTTTGACTTTGAGACTGGACTGAGGTCTCCATGACTGATGTCTAGTAGTATGCCATGAAACTGTCGAACAGCATGTGTTTCTTAACGTCCCACTATCTCGATATATGCTGGTTGAACTTTAAAAGTGACGTACAAAACACATACACGCCACGTTCTTCATCACCTCCTCTTGTGTCCCAATAAGACTGTCTCGTCTCTTGCTTTTCCAGTCCTCTTTGTCTTCTTGTTTTTTCTTCGGTATGATTCATTCATTCATTACAAGGGCAGTATTATTTGTCTCTAAAACTCGAGTCGACTCTCTTTTTCGGACCCAGCCACGTTGGTCTGTACAGTTAGTAATATACTCTATAGCAATACGATCGATCGTGAATGCTGATGCAAGCTGCGTGTAGAAGGAACCAGATTTGTTTTTTTTTGGTCCACTAAAACAGATCGGCACGATAGCCGTCATCTAACAATAAACACCCGCACAAAAAGTCGCGGATGCAGTCTTCACGGACAAAGAGTGTTATATGATGGTCCATGCGACAAAATGTGGTAAGGTATACGGTACAGTACCAAAAAGCTGCTCGTGTCTTTTAGATCTCCGTCATGTGTTGCTACAATCCAGTTGACTCAAGGGCGATGAGCGTGCTGTTGGGCTTCGCGAACGAGATCCGAGCATTCATGGAATCATCAGGTCAGTGCAATTTGTCCAAAGCAACGTGGTGGTTGCATCACTCGGTAAAAAGGACTAAAACTACTGGATGTGCATCTTGGTCGACGGATGCCCAGTTTCTTGTTCTAATTGAGCATTTTCATGCTCAATTAAAGAGAAGACGCGGATGCAGAGATGTTTACAAGAATCGAACAAAAGGGCAACTGCGTCTGGGTCAAGTGTGTGTGCTGCTTCGAGACCTACTACTCGTGGCGTCAGGGCTGCGGCCGTCGTGTTTGGTGGATTGCTGTGCATTGAAGAAAGGAGTGGCTAAGCTTTTACTGGACTACCTAGATGAGAATGAAGCGAGCCAACAATGGTTTGATTAAAAGCAGGTCCGTGCAGTGACGCTAGATAACAACGTCTTTTACGTGAACGTGAACGCTTTCGTGCGCGAGAAAATAGTGAAGCTGGCGTTTGGATCTTATGATACCATGTATGTGGATGTCAGTGCAAGCTTGTCTTTTCCCAGCCTTATTTGCAGCAGCTCAGAAAGAGGCGACGAGGTTAAAAGCGTTCGCAGACTGGACCGCGTCAGCCTGCAAACGCCTCCTCTCGTCGACGTACTCTCAAGTGCTAGAGTTTGAGAGACCGTCGGCGCTCAATGCAGCAGCACTAGCTGGTATGATGCTGTGCTACCCGTTTGTGTATGACATCTTGGAAGACGACAACAACGTCATAATTGATGATAAGTGGGCCGAGCAGAAGAACAGCCTCGCAATGTGTCCGCTTTGGCTCTTTCAGATCAAAGCTGTCGTGTATGTCGTCAGCTTCTGTGCTCCTTGTGTTCTCTTTGTTCTATTCTGATATTGTTGGTATATTTATTATCCATTTCCTTGCATACAGACTCAGCAAGCAGATAGAAATGGCGCTGCAAGAGTTTTCTGTGCCGCAACATTTGCTCGACAATGGCACCACTCTGTCATAGAGGATGAAGCAGAAACTCGTCATGTTTTGCCGCTTGTGACCATCCTTCAGGCTCATTATCAACTGAGAATGCGCATGCAATCGAACGAAATTGTTTGATATCATCTGGCGTCCGACCTCAAGCCGATGTTGGCAACCGAATGCTGCACCGCGTTGCACTGTAGGTCTTAGCTCCGTTCAATCAGGGTTTTGGCGATACCATCACAATCCACTCCAGTGCTTTTCTACTTCAAGCAATTTGGCTTGTTTATAAAGTCTTGAGAAGACTTAGGTCATCTCCGCTCAAGTACAAGCACGAGTTTTCGGCCTGGCTGAAGACTCACGCTGTTGTCTTTTCTGGCGCAGTAGAGTTCGCCAGACGCTTGGAAATTACAACGTCGATGAGGTGCATCTTCGAGCAACGCTTGGATGGGGGAGATGTGGCTACAAGTCATTGCGTAAGTCATTCGACGAGTTCAAATTGAAGATGACAAGCAGGCGACGACAGCTTTTTTCGGCGATGTGCGTGCAAGCATATGAAGCTGTGAATTGGCAGGAAAAAGGTGGTTTCACGTCACTAAAAATCCGGCGTGTGCAGCTTCTGGTAGTTTTGTCGATACTAAAGCCCTCGAGGAAGCCACGTTCATGTTAAGTGAGACTTTTTGACCTTGCCGGAGCAGAAGCTCGTAAAACCTACGACCACAATAGAGACATGCATTGTAAAGAATAAAGGCCTCATGAATTGAGGATCACGAAGGTCTTTGCACCAACGAAGACTACGAGTGCATGGGCTAGCGGTCTGTGTCCATCCTTCAAGACCGACAACATTAGAGCCATCAAAACATTAGATAATAGACGACAAGAGCTTACAACGCTGCGATAAGCAACGGAAACCATTTGTTCCGTCGTTCGCGCGCATTCAAGCACTCGTGTATTTTCTCCAATATCCCGACGACAATCTGTTAGTCTCTTGACATTGATCAAGTATCAGTTTCCTTGCTGTCGCGACATTAACTTGCCACAACCCATGACATCGGACTGGTTGATGCACTTGGACCGATTGACGACCTGGTGTATCGACCTCGTCGAGTAGCAGATTTCATTGGTATTGAATTATCACTAAATAAAGAGATCCTCAACAAAGTGCTTTCAAAACTTCAACTTGTCTTTCTTGGTCAACGACGCGCTAGTGCATTTTTGTCAAGATGACGACATGTCGTTGGTGGAATGCACTAGCAAGAATATCATCTTACGTAGGAGATCATAAATACAAGTCAAGTGCGCCGTTGCGCACTATTTTCCGACGTGAAAAGAGTTGTCTTTACTCTTGTCATTTTGAGCAGCCAAGTCTGAAACGTTCGGACAGCATCCCATCAAGTTGCAGTCCAATCTCACGAGCCCTTAAAATTTGGAGGTCAGCATGTCGCTTTGCAGGTTGTTGTACGCTTGCGGTACCCTGTCTATCCAGCAGTTTATGTTGTTGGACTTTCGATGTGACGCGCAAATCTGCCTGTCATCTCATAAACAGGCAGCAACAGTTCCTATGTCCTATTAGGCCGTCTCGTTTCCTATATTTTCAGCTGACCTCTTGTCTTTTGGTCGCAGCTATTTGTTTCAGCGAGCAATACTAGCCTCTAGTATTTTCTTCTTAGTACAGCCATGTTGCACTGTTTATTCACTAAGCATACTTTTGTTGCAACACGATGGTGTTTGATGCTACGTGTTGAGCAGACCAGACTAATGAACTGATCGGAGGCAACCAGATCTAGGTTTTGTCTAATGAACTGATCGGAGGCAACCAGATCTAGGTTTTGTCCAATGAACTGATCGGAGGCGACCAAATCTAGGTTTTGTCCAATGAACTGATCGGCACAACAGTGTCACCTCCCTTGTATGGGATTTTTGCTCCCTCTTTACCACTGATCTACTTCAAACATACGATAAAGTACTGTATATTTTTCAAGTATATTCTTAAGTGGTTTTCATTTTGCATTCCAAAATATTATCCTCACTACACAGTTTGAAACGCATCTGCTACACAATGATGCGTCTTCCGTCCGCTCTCATGTATGGGACTCTTGCAGCATGTCTACTGCGTCATGGTTCTCATGCAAGGTCATTTGATTCCATCATCCCAGCTCCGTTGCCCCTCGCTGCCCCGCCATTCCCCGCAAATCAATCTGAAGTCTCTACCACGAGGCATTCAGAAGAAAATGAGGTCTCACACGACGAAAAAGAAGAGAGGGGGTTTCCTGCTCGGTTTGAAATTCCCGAAGCATTGGAAACTAATGGCGCTCACGGCGCGGATGAACTACAGTAAGAAACGGACAAGATGCTTAAGGTGTTACAACCCATCGCGCAAAATTTCTTTGTAAAGCAACCTGATCAATTGAAAGATGTAGAGGACTGGAAAGAATTCATATCGGGCGTCGAATTGGCATCCTCTAGCAGCCAAACCACATTCTCTGAGAAGCTTGCAGCTAAGTGCAGCTACAATGAGCTGCTCCAGATTATTGCAGCTGGGAAGGAGCTTCGTGTTACTGGCACGAGGGCTCATGCTGTTGAAAAAGAGCTTCGTGTTACTGGGAAGAGGGCTCATGCTGCTGAAAAGACGGTCGATGATATTTAAAATAAAGTTCGTAGTCTGGAGTTGTGGTTAGAGAAAAATTACCCCACAAATAAGTTGAAGCAACTTGTGCGCACCAGAACGGAAACATTCTTTCGCGAAAACGACTATAAGGCTAATTGGATCGAGTTTTCTTCTTACGTGAAAGCCTACAACGAGCAAATCCCTGGTGGTTTAGTTACGACGACCGCTGAAACTATCATGAAGTTTTACAAAGACGAATTAATGGTCAAATGGATCTCTGAGTTCTTCGAACCGATTACGGAAAAAGATCTAGCAATAAACCAATTGAATGAGCTGTATTCAAGGCAACAGAAATGGCTGAAATTGAAAAAGCATCCTGACGACGTCTTCAGCGAGGTGGGACTTGCTGAGCCACTGTGGACGATGTTTGAACCAAAAACAATGGGTTATAAACTACGCAGGTGGAGGCGGAATACCAACAATTTTATCAAGAAGTATCCCAAGATGCCCGCAACTGTTCGCGCATATTTTCCGTACGAGGATAAACAATTGCTCAAGATGTTGTTTTATGAAAGTAGTGAGCGTCTATACAGCAATGTTTTAATAACACAAGTGCTAGAGGAGGTGACCGAGGCATTGCACAAGACCAATCCAGATCTATTCGAACTTTACGAACTATTTTGTCTTGACACGGGCGAAATCGAAGTTTTTTCGAGCCGTAGAATGATGAATTGGCTACAATTCGCAAAAGACTGCAAACCACCCGTATCGCCGATACCGGTGTTGCTTAAGAAAAATGGTTTTGGGGAAAAAGATTATGATAAGCTTGATGATTTGGTTAGTGAAGCACCTGGAAGTAAAGCCAAGGATGAGATTCAAAGGCTTTTACAAATCGAGTCCAAGAAAGCAAAAAAGAAATAATTGGAAGATGCGCATGCTTGGCGAATACTTCGTCTAGGCGCCGATCGTCCTGTGCACGAGCAAGTCCCTTCGACATGCCGCAAACTTTGGTAGATGAAAAGTAGATTTTTTGAAATCTAATGTCCATAATAGTTGCTTCATTCGTTTCGCCATACAGTCAGCGTACATTGTTATTTGCAGGTCACCTAAATTATAGTATGCAGTACCTCTTTAAGAACCTGCTCAAGCACGCGATAAAGATTCAGTAGAAGCTTCAGTCGGTGAAAAGTAAGTAAAGGCTTCTGCTTGTTTGCAAACCAAACAGCTATCTTTAACGTTGCCAATAGGAGCAACCTGACATCACGAATATTAATCAAAGAATGTAGTATATATGTAACAATGCAAACATGTAAGATAGTGTAGCACTTTCCACTTGATGATTCATCTGCATGCGCCGTCAAAGACTCAGCAGGAAAAGCCGTCTTGTTTGGCAACCCGTACGTTTTTCTTCACCCCGTTATGCTAAGAACAAATGTTGGAACAAGGGTCAGTTTTCGAGAACGCAACTCTTCTGTTATCCTGTGCAAATTATCACAGAGCCAGAAGTGCGGCTCTTGAAGGTTTTGGAACAAGTTGCTGATTCGTCATCACAATCGCCGATTCGTGAGTTATGCATTCTTTTCAGGAGCACGAATTACTCTGGTATATTGCTATCAAGCCAAAGCCAAGCACGAGCGGTGGCTTGCTGTTTTGAGCTTACATAAACCGCGGCGACTGAGGTGATCACACACGAACAGTAATGTTCGCTCTGATCAGAATTTTTTTGTCAGGTTCGAAGGGAGATTTAGAGCAGACTAAAGTCATGTCAATTCGGAACTAAGTCAGCCTAGGATCTCAAGAAGTTGAAAGCCTTCGTCGGCACGGATCCCGTATTTGGTGATATCTCCAAAATAACAAATTATCATCACGAAGGATCTGAACGACGGTCTTCTCCGCCTACTACAAACTCATATACCGATAGTTTAGACGTAGTTTTTCGCTTGGGGTTAAAATGAGCAGCATTTGTCGTTTGGACTGACCTTTTCCTGTACATAAGTTTCCTTCACTAGCGCGACCCAATTGGCGTCTTAGTTATGTCGTGTCATGTCCTTTCAACTTTCTTTTTTCTCAGTAGTTATGCGACTTCTTTTATCTGCATACGACCTATGTGCACGTTGATTGGCAGCTCTATTGAAGATTCGTTTATGTCTCGTATACCTCGTTGAACCCATGACGTAGCACACAATAATTAATGTGAATAAACAAACAACGTTCCACCGTTTTTGTCAGATGTAACAAGCGTGATCAAGGGCACGTTGGTTTCCACAAAGCGTCAACGTGATTCTACGTGTACGTGGCTCTCTCCAAGCTCTCATAGATTATTTAGCTTACCATGTGAAGAAACTGCTCCAAATTTTTGCAGCTGGGAAGAAGCTTCGGGTTACTGGGAAGAGGGCTCATGCTGCTGAAAAGACGGTCGATGATGTTATAAATAAAGTTTGTGATCTGGAGTTGTGGTTAGAGGATAATTACCCCACAAATAAGTTGAAGCAACTTGTGCGCACCAGAACGGAAATATTCTTTAGCGCAAAAGAAAATAAGGCTGAATGGATCGAGTTTTTTTCTTACGTGAAAGCCTACAACGAGCAAATCCCTGGTGGTATAGTTACGACCGCTGAAACTATCATGAAGTTTTACAAAGACGAATTAATGGTCAAATGGATCTCTGAGTTCTTCAAACCGATTACGGAAAAAGATCTAGCAAGAAGCCAACAGGAATAACTTGAATTGTAAAAGCATCCTCCTGACGACGTCTTCAGCGATGTGGGACTTGCTGAGCCACTGTGGACGATGTTTGTACAATGCGTGCGCCACTACGCGGTTGGAGTCAGGATACCAACAATTTTATCGCTAAGTATCCCAATTTGCAAGCAACTGTGCATGCACCTATCGACAAGGTAATGACCCTGGAGGGTCGGGTAAAGTCATCAATGGATGTTATCTTTGAGGATAACGAGATGCAAGCACCTAGTGACGAGGTAATGGCCCAAGAGGGTTGGGTGAAGTCAAAAATGACTGTTGTCTTTGGCAACAACGAGGTGCAAACACCTCATGATGAGGCATCGACCCAAGAGGGTGGGGTGCAGTCAGTAAATGAAGTGGCCTGTGACCTTGAGGTGTGCACACCTGCGGAAGCTGATGCGTCAGATGCTTAGAGCATCATGAGTAGAGATGATAATATCGTGAGTGACGGTGATAGAGAACAGCTATATACACTCGTCAATGGTTTGACTGGGGATGTTGAAGATCCGGTGGCTCTTTCAACAATACCCGCAGTAAGTGCTCTGTTAGAGCTGGACGAGTTGTCCTTTGCCGAGTTTGGCATTGCCTTACAGGCAGGCGACATCGCCGAAGTGGTCATTATACGACGTGAGGAGGAGTTGAACTCCTCGTCGCTTTTGAATAAAGCAGTTATTGAGGATGCCAAGAAGGCGCTGAATGCGCGTAGAGGGTCACAGATTCCGAAGGACCCTTCGTATCCTTATATTCCTTTTGTTGAAGGAATATGGAGATGTTGTCTTCAGAGAACTTCCGACGAGGTTACCTCTGGATAGAGGTGTACGTCATGAAATTGACTTGGTTCCTGGAACCAAATACGGTGTGACGCGACAGTGGCCGCTGACACGAGAACAATGTGACGTCATTGACGAGTTCTTTCGTGCGAAGCACGCGGCTGGCATGGTGCATGAGAGCAAGCCTCCTCACTCTGCGCCCACGTTTTGAGTAAAGCCTAATAAGAAGTGGCGAATAGTGCATGCTTATAATAAAAGCTGAATGTAGCCACTATCCCAGGCTCAAACATCAATTCCTCGCAAGGATGTTCTTCAGAACAATATGGTGGGATGTACGATGTACAGTGCCCTCGACTTACTCGATGAATATTACCAACTGCTCATGCGAGCTAGTGATATCTTGCTGACAGCGGTCAGTAATCCAAGCGGTATGCTCTGGGAGTGGTTAGTGATGCCTCAAGGGCTGTCTAACGCACCTGCAACGTTCAATCGTCTAGTAACACAGTTGTTTCGGCCCCATAGGGCGTATGCAACGACATACGCTGACGATATATTCGTCCATAGTCAAGCCTAAAATGGCAAGACTGATGTGGAGAATCACATCGAGCACCTGCGAGCTGTGCTCGGTTGCATGCGGATGCATAAGTTATATGCCAATATTGAATGATGCATCTCAAGTAATTTGCCTAAACTAACTACTTGCGGAGGTCCTTCTAGTTCCTCGTAACCGGCTAATCCACTATGGCTTTGACCTTAACAGGGCCTGCCCGAATTCCTCGCTTTTCGATGAAGCATCCCAAAAATGGAATTTCTTCCGCACTGAAGATGCATTTGTCAATATTATGCATCCGCATGCAACCGAGCACAGCTCGCAGGTGCTCGATGTGATTCTCCACATCAGTCTTGCCATTTTAGGCTTGACTATGGACGAATATATCGTCAGCGTATGTCGTTGCATACGCCCTATGGGGCCGAAACAACTGTGTTACTAGACGATTGAACGTTGCAGGTGCGTTAGACAGCCCTTGAGGCATCACTAACCACTCCCAGAGCATACCGCTTGGATTACTGACCGCTGTCAGCAAGATATCACTAGCTCGCATGAGCAGTTGGTAATATTCATCGAGTAAGCGAGGGCACTGTACATCGTACATCCCACCATATTGTTCTGAAGAACATCCTTGCGAGGAATTGATGTTTGAGCCTGGGATAGTGGCTACATTCAGCTTTTATTATAAGCATGCACTATTCGCCACTTCTTATTAGGCTTTACTCAAAACGTGGGCGCAGAGTGAGGAGGCTTGCTCTCATGCACCATGCCAGCCGCGTGCTTCGCACGAAAGAACTCGTCAATGACGTCACATTGTTCTCGTGTCAGCGGCCACTGTCGCGTCACACCGTATTTGGTTCCAGGAACCAAGTCAATTTCATGACGTACACCTCTATCCAGAGGTAACCTCGTCGGAAGTTCTCTGAAGACAACATCTCCATATTCCTTCAACAAAAGGAATATAAGGATACGAAGGGTCCTTCGGAATCTGTGACCCTCTACGCGCATTCAGCGCCTTCTTGGCATCCTCAATAACTGCTTTATTCAAAAGCGACGAGGAGTTCAACTCCTCCTCACGTCGTATAATGACCACTTCGGCGATGTCGCCTGCCTGTAAGGCAATGCCAAACTCGGCAAAGGACAACTCGTCCAGCTCTAACAGAGCACTTACTGCGGGTATTGTTGAAAGAGCCACCGGATCTTCAACATCCCCAGTCAAACCATTGACGAGTGTATATAGCTGTTCTCTATCACCGTCACTCACGATATTATCATCTCTACTCATGATGCTCTAAGCATCTGACGAATCAGCTTCCGCAGGTGTGCACACCTCAAGGTCACAGGCCACTTCATTTACTGACTGCACCCCACCCTCTTGGGTCAATGCCTCATCATGAGGTGTTTGCACCTCGTTGTTGCCAAAGACAACAGTCATTTTTGACTTCAACAAGTCCCATTGTGGTTACAGGAAGCATGGAGACTAGGGTTGTTGGAAGAGGCTGACCTGCGATCGCTATGGGAAGAACGTCCATCCCCCAGATGGTTACTTGTTCGTATGTAGAGGCTGTGGAGAAACCCACGAGGTTTGGAAGTGCCGGTGGAAGAGCTTTATAGCTTGATCCGTCATTGGTACAACCCGACCAAGCACGCTGGGATGTTGCCGGAGAAGGTCAAGCAGATGCTAAATTAGGACGCTCGCCAGGTTTGAATCTGGTACGAGCCGATCGTTCTAATTGTTGCATTTTTGCATATGTGGAAAAGCGACTCAAGGGAGGAAGGGACATTCAGGATAACTCACTTAGAAATATATCGAAGTTCGAAAGTTAAACTAGGGTCCATGTTGCTTCTTCCGGTGCGTC